ATGGTCAGAAAGATAACGCTCATAGAGACAACCTCGTGACATCACTTTCTTGACCCGCGTCCATGGCAAGTCAAGCCTCGCCGTGGCGCGATCCATAACCTCCAGTAGCTCATCATACGCAGGGTAGGAGGATTGGGAGGGCTCGGCCTCAGCTTCTTCGCCCTCCTCAAACATCTCCTGCTCTTCTTGGGCCGAACCCAGCAGAGCACTGGCCCCTGGATCAGATGATGTCAGGGAAATAACATCATCCTCCAGCAGCTCACTCTCGTCCACAGCCGACGAGTGCGAGAGGGAAAGCCCCTCTTTAAACTCATCGGCCAGATCCGCCTGCGATCCCCACGAGCTCATTCTCCTCCGTGCTTTAGCAGCGGTGGGTCCTGAACCACGGGGAGCAGACGGCTGCCCCTCTTTCCTCGAAAAGAGAGACAAACGAGAGCGGAGCTTTTTCATCGAAAAACGCTCACAGTTAGCGCAGATTGCCCCCTCGAGGACATCGCGTGTGTGCTTTTCGCCCTAACAAAAGATGCAAAGATCATGCGTGTCATCAGGTGTCAAATAACGACGACATGGATGCACACATCTTCTAAACGTCTTGCTAGTGCTCGCCATAATAAAGGAAGAAAGATCGCTCTTACCACTGGAATGCACGCTTCAAACAAAACAGTCAGTGAAGATGAAGAAGAGGATGATGTGTTCTCCCGGCACCTATTTATACCATAGTCGCTTTATACTATAGTCGCACCGGTAGTGACGTCATAGGCTGTCAGCAGCCAACATGTTGTTGGTGTTTTTTGAATGTATGCTTTAGACACGGGTCACGACGAGGCGTTCCCCATAGCGACCCCTAGAGGACACAGTTTGAAGTTCCCTTGAAAGGGAAACATCTGATTCTCAAACCTCAGTTTCTCCAGCTGACAGTTTGGGCTCTTCAGTCCATCAGAGAGCAGCTTCACTCCTGGGTCATAAAGGTAATTGAAACTCATGTCCAGATCTATCAGGGGTGAGTCTGGTATCTGCAGTGCCAAAGCCACAGTTTCACAGCAGGTATCATCGAGATGACATCCGCAGAGTCTGTAAAAACAAAATATTTGTCCAAGACATATTTTTGTGTTTATTTTGTATGAACCGTGTCGTTTGATAGGTTGTGCCATGTTATTTGTAAATATTCAAGCTTTCTAAAAGAAAAAATAATCTTCCATGTATGCTTTAAAATATGTTAAAAGACAAGTGAAATAAAAAATTCTCAACTGCATTTCTATGAAATTACTATGTTTACTACTAAATTTATTCAAGTAAATATAGATTTTAATCTCCAAAATCAGTAAAAGCGAGAGACTTAAGACTGCGTTTTACACTGAAATTGATCAGTGTAACTGTAAAAAATTTACTTACATGGCTTTTCTGCAGCATCTCACAGCTGGGAGGAGTGTCCTGTTGTCTTCCCATGATGTCTTGTACATCTTCAGGTCGAGCTCATCCAGCACCTCCTCTGACATCAGCAGTACGTAGGCCAGCAATGAATACATGGAAGATGAGAGGTGGGTTCTTGTATTTGATTTGATGTAACTTTGGATTTCCATATATAATGAATTGTCATTGAGCTCCAGTAAGCAGTAAAACAGGTTTACTGAAGTTTCAGGTGAGATGTACTTTTGTAATAGTTTTCTAATGTGCTCGGTTGTTTTTGTGACGCTGTCTTTGCTGTCTTCAGTGTGAGGGAACAGGCCTCTGAGCAGGTTCTGATTGGATTCCAGTGAAATGCCCATCAGAAACCGCAAAAAGAGGTCTAAATGTCCTCTCTGACTCTGCATTGCTTTCTCAACAGCCTTCACTAGTAAATAATGCAATGGACTTTCAGACTGAAGCTCACAGTTAAGCCTGACCTTATTCTGTGTTTCTTCAAAGAAAAACTGAAGCTCCTCCATGTTCTTGTTCAGGTAGCAGAGGAACACATGCACTGCAGCAAGAAACTCTTGAACACTCAGATGCACAAAGCAGAAGACCTTCACCTCGTGAAGTCCAGCCTCTTGCTGAAAGATCTCAGTCAGCATTCCAGTGGACTCAAAGTCACTCACATCGATATCACATGCTTGCAGATCTTTCTCGTAGAAAACAATATTTTCCTTCTTTAGTTGTTCAAACGCTAGCTTGGCTAACTTCAAAATCATTGTTTCATTGGAATCTACCAGCTTGGTATGTTCTCTTAGTTTTTTTCCGTCATACTTCTGGTTCTTCATGTTCATCTGTATCAGCAGGAAATGGATGTACATTTCAGTGAGTGTCGTATTAATGGTCTCTGCATTGTTCCCAATAGGGATGTCTTGAAGAACAGTAGCTGTGATCCAACAGAACACGGGAATGTAGCACATGATGTAGAGACTTCGAGATTTCTTAATGTGTGAGATCATTCTGGAGGCCTGAGTCTCATCTTTGAATCTCTTGCTGAAGTATTCCTTCTTCTGCTGGTCAGTGAATCCTCGCACCTCTGTGAACAACCCGACATACTCAGGAGGGATCTGATTGGCTGCTGCTGGTCGTGAGGTCACCCAGACGAGCGCTGATGGAAGCAGAGTCCCATTCACCAGACTTGCAAACAGTTCATCTACAGATGATCGCTCCTCAACACTCGTCACCATTCCACTGTCAAAATCCAGAGTCAGACGACTCTCATCCAGTCCATCAAAGATAAACGCAAGCGTACATTTATATACCTTATTTATCTTTGTTGTTTCCAGGTCCTGCATTTCAGGATTAAACTTCTGTAGAAACTCATGCAGACTGATCTCTTTGTTTTTAATGCAGTTAATCTTTCGGAACGGAAGCAGAAACACACAGTCAATATTGTCATTGGCTTTTCCTTCTGCCCAGTCCAGAATGAACTTGTGCACTGAGACAGTTTTTCCAATGCCAGCGATGCCTTTGGTCAGCACAATCTTTTTCTTCTTATTTTTGTTCAGACTAAATACATCATTGCATTTGATTGACCTGTTCTGTGATTTACAGGTTTTAAAGGCATCATCAATCTGCAGAACCTCATGTTCAAGATTGACTTTTTCAATATCCCCCTCCGTAATGAAGAGTTCTGTGAAAACATTCTTCAGCTGTTCTTCCTTTGCTTCTTTACCCTCAAATATGTGTTCCACTTTCTCCTTCATTTTCATTTTGTGAGTTTTCAAGAATTCCTGCAGCCAGAAATCTGTTATGGAAAAATATAAATAAAAGGGAAAAGGTGGGAATAAAACAACATCAGAAAATTAAACAAAGTTTTTTCACATTGGCATAACTGTCATCAAAATTAAGTATTGCAGAAATATGGTATGTTAATACATAGTACTGAAAGCAATTCTGTACTGAAATCAATATGCATCAAACATGCTAAAATCATTTCTAAACCCAATGTAAAGACGTGACCTAAGATGGTTCACCTCGTTAACTTGTGGGTTTCTCAGCTGCCTCTAATGATTTTTGCACTGTGAAGAGAGAAAGAAGAATGAGAAAAATATAGGACTACAAGGTATCAATGTAAGCTGAACAGTAGCTTTAATATATACATTAATGTTTAAAAGTTTGGATCACTATAATTTTAATTTTTTAAGAAATTTATCTTTTTGTTCAGCAAGGATGCATTATTGTTCAAGAACTACATTTATAAAGTTACAAAAGATTTATACTTTAAATAAATGCTGTTCCTCAAACTTTGTTCATCTGTGAATCCTGAAAAATATAATGTATCACAGTTTACACAAAATATCAATCAGCACAACGATTCTCAACACTGATAGTAACAGAAAATTATTTTAAATTGTAATATTTTACAATATTACTTTTTTTCTAACTGTATTGATCAAATAATTGCAGCTTTAGTGAACAAAGTTCTTTCAAAAGCATAATCTTACTTTTTAAGTATAACTTACTTTTTAAGATAACTTAATTATCAAGCTGTTAAACTCTACTAGTCTTTACTCAGATGTTAGTATTAGCAATGTGTCTTATCAAGTTTTCACATTACAAGTAGTGAGACAAGAACTGTGCACCCTGGAAATACAGAAAACCAGCGAGTAATAGATCCCATTAATGCATTTATCTGGATCAGCAAGAGTTTTATTGCTACTCCTTTATGTCTGGCCATGTATCTATTGAAATCACTGTCTCTCCTCTTTTTTATGCTCAGGTTTGCTTGTGTGACATGGGCTCTCTTTGGTTGGTTTCCTCTTTGACCATCCCAAGAGGGCACATGTTAAAGCCCTTTTGGTCTTCTTCCATTGGCTACTGAACAGCAGGGCTGTAAAAATAGTCAAACCGAACCGAGAAAACTGTGAAGCACCACCCATGGTATGTACTGCGGTACTTCCATGGTGTACCTCCCTTCCAAATAATGACTCAAATAGTAAATCAGAGTGACAACTTCCAGATAATATTACAATAATAACGCCTTCCATTCTCGCTCAGTCTTGATGACATATCGTGTCTGCATGAACAGGGTGTGTGGAAGTATGCAAATACATATGTTGACAGGCAGGTAGGACAGCTTATTATAGCCTCGGGCCGAGGAATATGATTGGACGAACATTTTATGGTCCTACACCTTCCACAGACGATATAAATACACACAAATACATTTAGACCACTTAACGCTTTTTCAGGAGTCAAACAACATGAGACGAAACTGTGATTAAACCACAATTAAAAAAAAAAAAAAAACCTTTGCATTTTTAAATAAATCAAAACAGTTACTATGTTCATTTATTTGGTTTCCTTAATATTTTAACATGGAAACACTCAGATTAAGTTTCTGTTAGATGTGTGGAACACAAAAGGACAAATGCTAGCGTGCAAAACATCTTCTTTCTCTTACAGTCAATCATTGTTCAAATACCAACACTTGAAAAACAGTTTGAAACTATTTTTAGACTTCTTTGGAACAGAAAACGTGCGTGAACAGGGTGTGTGGAAGTATGCAAATACATATGTTGACAGGCAGGTACAACAGCCTATTATAGCCTCGGGCCAAGGAATATGATTGGACGAACATTTTATGGTCCTACACCTTCCACAGACGATATAAATACTCACAAATACATTTAGAGCACTTAACATAGTGATTATCTGGATGTGAAGAGACTTTCAACCAGCCTAATAAAAATGTTTCTGAACCACATCACCTAACCAGCCTTTAACAAATAGAGAAGAATTTGCAAGCATTTATAATATAAAAATATATTAAGTTTTTGGATCGAGATTCATTTATGATTTGAGCTTTGTCCTGTGTCCAAGCTCACCATTAGAATCTTTAGGCAATCAAACTCTATTACATTCATTTCCAATATTTTTAACATTTTTTAAATATAATGAACTGAAATCAATGCGCTTGTTTCTATTTTGCAAACAACTTGTTTTATCAGCAATCGAGTCACGGTTAAACTTAAAAAACTTAAATATGCGCATACATGATGGAGCGCATCAGAAAAGAGCACAACTACAGAATATTTACTGAAAGGGTTTTTTTTTTTGAAGGCAAATTTTTTCAACAAATTAGTATTCTTGTAGTAATTTCTGATAACACATTAAGAATACCTCGCCCCAGCAATCCCCGCCCAATACCGAACCAAATCAAATCCGTGACCTCAAAACCACAATACATACCAAACCGTGAGAAACTAGAACCGTGACACCTCTACTGAACAGGTAGCTCTCCACATCATATACGTATGATATACATATATGTATATCATACGTATACATATCTCTCCACATCCGTATTTATCATATACGATGGCGCCGACGGTGATGGCTGCCTCCGTGGCGTGCTCCGCAGTTGTTTTTATGTTTTTGTTAGTTTGTCCTGTCTTTAGTTAAAACCCTGCAATCAGTTTCACCAGAGACGAATTGCTGGACATTCGGCAGTACACACCACCCGATATTTCACCGGTTTTCGACTATTCTGATGTTTTGCTGGACATTGTAGTTGACGGAGCTGCTGTGCTGATCAAGCGCTTCAGGACGCGCAGACGGGGGAAGCGAGCCGGCGCGCTCGTCAAGCTCAGACAGCGCGGATTCAGGACGCCGTTGCCAAGCATCCATCTGGCCAACCTCCGCTCTCTACCCAACAAAACGGACGAACTCCTTCTGCTCTCCCGGACAAATAAGGATTCGTATGTGTAAACATACCTGGCAATAAAGCTCATTCAAATTCAAGGCTCTAATATTGTGCTCATGGCTGCTTCTGGATATACTCCCTTCTCTGAATCTGTGCTGCCTCTTTTTCTGTGATCAGTATTTTTGCCTTTATTACCTTCTTCGTGCTTGTCCTGTAACTCTTTAGCCAGCTGGTTCTGGTTCATCTTCCTCAGGATCTTCAGTGTGATCTTTACAGCTTCTTCTGGTCCATAACACTCCACCATCATATCCACTATGTCAGTGATACCAGCATTCTCCAGTTTACCAGCTCCAATGCGCCTACCTTGTTTTAAGGAACTCCTACATTTCTTTAGATCGTCATTTTCCAGGTCCTCTAGAGTTGTACAAAGCAGATTCCATTGTTCTAAATCAGATTCCATAGTCCTTCATGGACTGTTGAACGAGAAAAAAGAAAAAGTAGTCTGAGTTTTATAGCAGGGGTCTATGCAGTGCAAACATATGCATGATGAAATCACACTGTGATCAGATCAACTACAGTGAAACATTCATTTTCAAGCTACATTTCTAGTTTCAACATTATTTATTCTTTAGACATTCCCCTTTAAATACAATAAGCATCAGCTGTATGTGTAAGTGACCAGCATTTGGCTTTCAGTCACTGAAAACGGGTAATATTCATCAATCTGGACATGGAGCCGCACTGAGATCCCCGTCTCTGGGACTGAATGATGTAGGGCCTTGAAAACGAAGATTCCAAATGAATAGTTTATTAAGAATCAGAATGTAAAAACATTGAAATATCTCTAATACTTCTTGAGTTATAGACATGCAAACTTTGGAAAAAGAATATGTATGGCACTCAGACAGGTGTGTACAATGCCGTTTTGATGGAAGGAAACAAGATTTACTAGTTTTATTACTAGTTTCAACATTATTTGTTCTTCAGACATTCCTCTTTAAAAGAAAAAAGTATCCTGTATATGCAAAGTGATCCACATTTGGGTTTTGACCAATGAAAATGTGTACAATTTAATAATTTACTCCTGGAGCCATATTGAGATTCCACCACTGGCATGAAATGCAAAAAAGATAGCTAATTTCAACATATTTTACTAACAGGCCTAAATATCTCTGTGTAAAAAAAAGAAAAAAAAGAAAAGAAAATAATGATGCTGCCATCTTTCTAAACAGTTTAATCTATATTGAATTAGGAAACGGTTCTTTTAAATTGTAATAATATTTCACAATATTACTGTTCTTACTGTACGTTTGATCAAATAAATGCAGTCTTGGTGAGCATAAGAGACTTCTTTAAAAAAAATCATGATTTCAAACATATGACTGGTACTGTATATATTAGACAAGTAAGAATAAAACTAATATCTTTTCTATTGGTCCTGGGTTTCTGAATACACTCAAGAAGGTCCCTGTTAAATAGCAGCAGCTTTATAAGAACTCACTCTAGGCATGGTGAGGCTGGCGTTGAATGGTAATGTCTGGCACGCTGTGACACTGCTTGGCAAGGACCTTCACCACTGGCACAGTCTGGTGTAGATCTGGCTTCAGATGTAGAGGCTGGCATACTGTCAGATGGCAAAGTTTGGCAGGGCAAAGCAGAGGCTGGCATGTATAAACAAGGCTTGGCATGACATGTGCCTGCGCTCTGTGCCACCCAAACCATAAAGAAGTTTAATTAGAGGACTAATGCCCACTTCTGGGGCGGCACAGTGGGCAGCTTGCACAGACTGGCAAAAGCACACTGGGGAGCAGACCTGGACATGACTGAGAGGAATGAACACACACACAAACCAGTGAACCAGAAAAATAATCATAATAAAATAATCACATTTTAAAACCATGGAAGTAGACTTGCTCTCTCTTTCCTTATGCATCTGTGTCCCTCACTTGCTGCATAATTTATTAGCATCTACGTGTTTAAGGTAATGAAATTTAAAACCTTTATAAACTTATAAAATTCGTAGTTGCCTAAAAAAGGGCCTGCCAAAGTTGGCCCATGATGACCTTCAATTTGGCCCACCATCCATGTCACAAGATGGGGAAAAAATAGGGAACAAACACACCATAGAAGCATATCTAATTTATCTTTTTGTTTATTTATTTTTTTTTTGTTTGTTTGTATTTTTGGAATGAAGCGTAGAAAATAAGTGAACTTGATTTATTTATTTTTATTTTTTTAAATAATATTACTGGATATAATTCAACCTTTCGTTCCACAGACCTCAATCAATTTTTATTATATAAAAAAGGGCACCTCTGTTTTAATGTACGGTAATTACAAAATAATATTACTTTAGAACAATTATGCAGCAAAACAAAATCTCATTCAATATCTAGTTGTTAACATGGAAATATACACCATATTAATGCGATTAGTTGAACTGTATGTAAATGAATTAAGCATTGAGGAAGGTCATGCTCTGGATGCGTGAAACTCAATCTATTGAAATAATCAAGACTTACACATGTGATATGACTAATTGTAGCTAATTAAGTTAAGGACCATACCTGATGCTTTTACTAATGTGTTTGTTCTGAGCAGTCCTTGATCTAATGATTTAATGATCTTCTTAAAGCTCAATAAAATTACATTTGAAGGAACTCATAGCCATAAAAGAGACTGCTGTCATTGTTGCAAAACTCCAGTTAATATAAAGAGCCACAGAGTTTACTATTATCACTCTCATATAGACAAACAGGCAGTGACGATCACACTGAACTCATAATCACCTGTGTGCGGCTCAGGATTTCAGCTCTATTTCCAACGGACAGGACGGTGTTATCTGAGAGCCGCAGACTCTCCTGCTCTTGACCTGAGCTTTCCTCACTCAATTCCATACGGATACACTTTAATATGCATCCAAAGCCTTTCCATCTAGACAGAGATGAAGAGACGCAGATATTAAATGAAAAGGAGTGCGATTGTTGAAGAGATAATATGAATGCTGGAAAGAAATCAGGCTGATACGCCTCATAAAACGGATAACAGATAAACTTGTGGAAACTGTAGTTTGTCAAGCCACAATCTACTAAGACTTTAAATGTAGTTAAACAGCAATCAAGCTATGGAGAAAGCAATTAACAACACTATATAAAAAACAGAAGCTAACAACAATAACGCAACTTGAGGGGACAATATTAACTAACTATCTGGTGATATTTTTGTTTATCCAACACAAAAACAATGAGAATCTCAGTTAAAGGGACAACATGAAACCTGAGCAAAAGCTGACTCTAAATAGGACTAATTAAACAAAACAAAAACTCTAAAACAAAGTTCTAAACAACGGTATTTCACTACAAACAGAAGACGCAAAAAAACGACACAAACAGCGAGATTGACTTTAATTCTGTCTCTCTCTGGCCATCTTCTCGAGTCTCAGCACCAACTGTCCGTGATATGATGGTGTACGGCGGTCCGCACTGCATTAATGAACTGCGATGTTCTTACAGCTTCTGTTTGCGAACAGACTTTTGGCGACTAAAGCATTACATTTCATCTCAGAACATAAAATCACTGACCATTTTTCTCTCATTTTTCCACACGCTACCTGTCTTGATCTTGCTAATATTACTGTCTTCCCCTCTTTATATCACGTCTCAGACATGTTTGTTGTCATTCTCTTCACTACATTAGATGCTGTGTAGCTCAAACACTAAGGTCATGAGTTTGATTCTGAGTAAATGCATGAACTGATAAAAACTGAGACATTGAATACAATGCAAGCCACTTCGGGAAGCAGGAAATAAATTCATGAATAAAATTATAAAGTGGCCCATAGTGACACATGTCGCTGAAGCTGACAGTCAGACACAGGCACATACTGTATCATCCTCAGGCCTTCAGTGAGTACTGGACTGTGAACTCGGCCCAGGGTGCAAATCAATGAGCATTTTAAAAGACAAGAGTTCAGCTGCTGTTCGGACCAGAACAACACTTACAGACTTGATTTCTGTGACTTCAAGGGACAGAGAAAACATTAATCTTGCAAAACTAAAATAGTTTTCATTTCAAGTGTCTGAAATGTTTTTAAAAATCACAGAAATCATTGTTTTTGTACATGATCTCAAACAGAAAAACCTTGTACTCAGCTTGTGCTGCAGCAACATAATCAATGACAACATAATGAAATGGACTCGATCTGATGATGGATCCAGTCCCTAAAATGTAACATGTAAATCCACCAGCACGATCCAAGTCTTTAAATCAATAAATCAACTGCAAAATCCATATAATCTAAAAGCAAGAGATCTCAGAGAACAGGCCTGGGTCAAAAACATGCTGATATATCATTACATCAAGAAACACAGAGATGCTCTTCCAGTATCATTAGGCAATTGTGAAATTATTTGGGTGAACGTTTGATAAACACAGATTATAACTGGGGGTACAAGGACATCTTGTGGCAAATTGATAAAAGAGTTGTAAAGATAAGCATCCTCACCTTGATTAATGGCGATCTCTGAAGCTTTTGGCCGGGACAGGCTCTGGGATATGATCCATATAAACTCCAGTATGGTTTGCAATTGATGCGAATGCAGATCACAAGTGAAGTGACACTGAGCTCTGGTTCAGTTGAGCAAAGTGTATTGCTGTAGTCCAATGAATAGATCTACAGACATAATGTAAACTCTAACAAACTACAAAAAAAAGATAAGAAATGTCCCCTTTTTAGGATGCTCTGTTTTAAAGATAATTTTGTAAAAAAAAAATAAGCTTCACTGATCTTTATTGGAAAGGGTGTAAACAATATTTTTCAATTTTTTTCAGTGAACGATAACCAATTATTGCACATGCACCTGTGGAACGGTCCTTAGACACTAACAGTTTATAGGTGGTCTGCAATTAAAGTCACAGTTACAATAACCTGTGACAGTAAAGAGACCTTTCTGGAAGGACAGCTGAATGTCCTCGCAGCAGCAAACCACACACAACCACGTTTCTCCCAGACGTGTTCGAGAACTTGCAAGAGTCTTGGTGGAAGAGAGAAGTAACATCTCACTGCAAGAACTGGCAAATGTGGTGCAATAAATGAGGAAGAGATGCACTGTGGTAAAGCAGCTGGTGGACACATCATTCAATATCATTCAAATACGCTGATTTGGTGCTCAGTTATTTATTATTGGTGCTCATGTATTAATAATGGATTAAAAAACACTCTCCACAAAAAACATTAAGCAGCACAAAACTGTTTTCAGCACTGATAATAATAAGAAATGTTTCTTGATCATCAAATCATAATGTTAAATGCTGAAGGAGGAAGTGACAAACATTTTCCAAACACGTTTATGTTGCAATTCACATGTCCTGGAATTCAGATCAAGAGTGCTTCCTCGTACACACACACACACACACACACACACACACACACTTGCATTTGTGGTTTACGGGGACTCTGCA